TTGATTGAAGCTGTGATTTTGGGTGCGTTCATTAAAACCTTCTCATAATGGAAAATTTGAAATTTTTACCCAGAATTAATTTTGATTTAAATTTTTCTACATACGACAGCCGAGTAACAGCCATTAATGGTTGAAATAGATTTAATAAAAAAAATATTTCCGGCCCTACGACAAACTTTAATTTATGTTTAACCTGTTAATGATGGCTGTATTTACATATTCACATGGCTCGTATTAATGGGGGGAGCGTAAAAAAATTTTCATTAAAATAAAATTTGCCCAAAAAAGGTTTCCCCAAAATGTGCTGTTGCCGAGAATAAAAGAAAAAAATTAAATTTGTGACTTAGATTTTTGTCAAATAAATATTAAAAAACATAAAAATATTGTTACTATAATGAAATTGAATAAAATAAATAAAATCAAATCACCCATTTGCACATAAAAACTTGCGCCCAAAATGTGCTGTTTTTGAGATAAAGAAAAAAATTATAAGTAACAAATTAACTTTTTTCACATAAAAATTAAAAAAAAAATTTGTTATTTTAAAGAAAGTGAATAAAATAAATTAAATAAAATCACACATTTGAACAAAAAAGTTTCCCCAATATGTGCTGTTGTCGAGGATAAAAAAAATAATATTTTTAATTAACTTTTTTTCAAATAAATATTAAAAAATATAAAATTATTGTTATTATAAAGAAATTAAATAAAAAAATAAGCAAAAAATCACCAAATAGCAAAAAAAAAAGCTTCCCCAAAATGTGCTGTTGTTAAGAATTAAGAAAAAAAATATATTAATGACTTAACTTTATTTCAAATAAAAATTAAAAAAAAATTATTTTAATAAAACTAAATAAAATAAATAAAATAAAAATAGAAATAAAGCAGTTTCAAAGATTTGAAGATTTTTAAGTACAAAAAAAAAAAATACAAAAACAGTTATATAGTTGCAAAATTTTTACTTTTTTTTAGATGATTCAACATATTTTCAGTATCAAATTTTACTATTAATTTTTGTAGTTGCTCAAATAGACGGTCCTTCGTGAGATGACAATGAAGCAACATTTTTTGTTGTTGTAGAAAAGTTAAAAAAAAAAAAATTAAAATTTCTACGCTGCTTTTGTCACTGGGTCATATTGACAGTAATTTTTCGGTCAACACTAATCTGACCGCGATATGTTACACGTGTCCGAAAGCTAACATGCCAATCAATATTTTTCTGAAAAAAAAAAAAATATTTTTATTTAAAAATTACTGAATATGATATATGATCTTAGCTTTAAATATAATTTCTCATATCACAAAAACTGATTGGACAGGATTTTATGACAAATTCCTCCGATTTTAATGATTTCCGCTGTCAATGTTTATTTGTAGAATACCAAATCTCATGCTCTTAGATATTTTGCTCTTTGCGGATTTTGGATCCAAAATCTCATATTTGAATCGATCTGCTTTATGTGGGCTATTTGTGATATAATTATGATTTTGATAATTTTTATCTATTTTTTTATTTATTTATTTATTTTTTTCATATTTTTTTTCATATTTTTTTTTTTTTGAGGTTGACGTCCGAGAAGTGGAAACTCTCATGAGTACTGCTTGACCAACATATTAGTATGCACCACTTGCAGCCGCACAGTTCCACCTACGTACTAAACCCCTCCCTACTAACCACCACTCTCCCCGCAGAACTATCTGAACTTAAGCCTTATACTATCAGAACAATATAAATTCATTAAACACTTAATTAGCTGGTGAGGCCAAGTCTTCAGTCCACCATCTTCTGCTGTGGACGGAAAGTTTTAGTTTCCGCCGCTACTTGCTTTCTTAATGAGATTAGGGATATTGTCGGCAGTTGTTTCCGAATCATATTCCCAGCACAAAGGGTTCCTTACATCGAAGCAGGGTAGGCGGAAAGGCATTGTTTCTGTTCCACTGTGCTATTATGCAGAGACGGAAAAGCATGGTCAGAAAGGACGGGTTTACGTTCCAAGCTAGCATGAGATCTTCTACATTTACCGCCGCGCACTTCGCTCAGCTTGCTTAAGATGCTTCATTATTTCTACAATAATCTCTGCGGATCTCGTCCTCATATATTCTTTAAAAACCTTTGCTTTCAGTATTCTTTCCGACGTTGAAGTACCTATACAGTGCTTGAGCTGATTGTGCTCATCTTTAAATCGGCTGTAGTATAAAAGAATGTCTCTGCGTTCTACATCCCTCCTTTAGAAAGCAAACGATAAAGACTTTCTGCGTTCATTTATTTATGCAAATATTATATTGAGTAGCGCAGTTATGAGGAACTGCTTGAGATAATAGTCTGTTTCACCTTGCTGTCTTTCGATAAATTTGCTTACACGTAGGATCAGCTTCTTAGTGCATCTTCCTTGCCGAGACGAATCCCAACCTTTTTTTTCACTCACTTATGCTTTGTTGCATGATTTCCTTTCGCTTAGCTAGGTTGTGCCTAACTTCTTAAGCATCCCTGGAGAGCTTCCGGCTAGCAGGTTTGTGGTTTCGTTTGATATAGTCACAATGCAGTGCTCTTAGCGACGCCAATCAAGTACCGCAGTTGATTCCCTTAGGCACGCCGGTATCCGTTTGACCTTTGCCAAAATTAGTATAGAAGAAATTATGTACTTTGTAACTGCTGAAGCGATTTTCTGCTGAAAAACTTCGTCATCTTGGTCTTTCTATAGTTTGCATGACGCTTGCGACTGCCGCACAGACCTTACTTACTTTCTCGCAATAGTATTTAAATGGTTCTTGGAGCTAAGTCTGCGATCAAGAATAACTCCGAGATATTTCATGGTTGGTCTGGAGTATGGTCTGATAACTTCAGTATGGTTTCACGCCATCCAATTTCATACTTTAAAAATGCTATGCAGCACCAATATGTAGATATTTTCATTGACAAGTGGATGACTAAAAATCTCAATTCTGGAAATTGGTCATATATATGTATACTATATTGTCCGACCTGGACGGTTGCGTCACAATGTACGCTTATGTGCGCAAGACGAGATGGTAAATTCAACTCAACTCGTAATTTTGACCCGATTTCTATATAATTTTGCTTTGTCTATCTCGTCTGCTTCTGGTATTTGGAAAATGAATTTAAGAAATTAAAATTTCGAAAAAACGGTTAAATTAAGTTTAGCATGAGGTAAAATTAAACGCGGAAAACTCCAATAAATCACCCATATTAAATTTGCCTTGAAGGATTTTTTCTAAGATTAAAATATTTTTCGCTAAAAAAGAAAATTTCCTTAACTACAAACCAGTGCGTCTTCCTCTTCTTCTTGTTTTTGGTATTTGTAATTATCTTTCTGCACATTCGTACGCACACAATCTCATAATTTATGCCGCCTCTCGCGCCACCCACAAATTACAAAAAAAAAAAAAAAAACAATTCTAAAAACTTTACCAAATCAGCGGCGGCGGCATCAATAGCTACGACAGCAACACTGAGAAGGAGGTGAAATATTCGTAGAAAAGTAAAGTAAAAGCGAAGTTATCTGTGTATATGTATGCATGTTACTTTATATACGCATATATGTATGCACATACATATGTATGCTCGCCGTAATATATAATGATTGTTTTGTAGAACTTTTGTTGCTTATCAAACAGGCAATGATCGGACAGCTTGCAAAGTTGCGCTGGTAAAATAAATGAGCGCAAATTATTTTCACGCTGTTTATTTACGAACTTTCTGTGTATGTGTGTGTGTGTGTTTTTTTTTTTTTTTTGTTGTAATTTTCCTTTTATTTTATGTAAATTTATTTTGGTGAAAAGCACAACTTTTTATGGGCGTTAATTATGTCGAATTTTGTGTTAATGTGAAATTAATTTGTGGCGCAAATTTTAGGTATGATTTAACGGTGAAAAAGATTAGATAGCATACTATTGTAAATTTTAGAATTTTAGTAACTTCTAATTAAACTCCAATTTTCGTTTTATAGAAACAAATTTTCGTAATCAAAAATTTTTTGGTTTTTGCACAAAATTTGTTGGAAGAAAGACATTAATATTTGTCTAATAAAATTTTTTTTTACGTCTATTGTTAGTATTGTCTACACCGATTTGGCTAAAACTCTATTTTGGTTGTTTTCAAATGTTTTCGGGGAGCCTTCTTTTCAAAGGAGCTTTCTTCGAAGGTTAGGTGTCTCTAGCACAATGAGCCATATTTCTGCTCTCTCGGAAAGTTCCCTTGCATTTCATTACCTACTCCCTGTCTACAGATAGCAGGCATATTTTTTTAAATCTCATCAACTAGTGCTAGCTATCAATCTAGCTGCTTTCAGAAGAGTTTCCGGCGATATAAGCAAGCTCAGCGACCTTTCTAACTTCTTAGTCAACCATGTAAAAAATAGTATAGTTATCCGGAAGATGGAACGCTCTGCTGGCAGGCCGTACGTTTCTGCGTCTTGCACCCTATTTTAATGTGGCTTCAATCCGTTCGAAGTAAATCAAATCTATGTAGCCTAGAGTATACATTAGTTTAATGGGCAGCTACTACTTTCTTTTTTATAGACGTACATTGAGTTGTAATTTTTTTTATGTCATAAATTTGTCAAAAATACAAATGATGGAAATTACAATAAATTGAAAATGATTAGAATTTCACAGACATATACATTTATAATAAATACTTTTCCAACTAATCTTAGTTCATGCAATTCTAACGCAGTCAGCAACTCCACTCTAAGAATTACCTAATGGTGTCTATCGAAAGTTCTTGAAACCAAGCACATATCTAAAGTGTCCCAAAGCACCCTTCACCACCACTTTTCATAAGTGTTTTTTTGAAATTTTAGCCAATTTATTTTATCAATTTTTGTCTGTGGGCTATATTACTTGCATATTTTATTTGTCCACAAACGCCCATTTTATTTCGTTTTACAGCTTATGCTCAGGAATATATAAGCATATACTCATATTTTCTCTAAACTTGTGTCAACTTACTTACCTTTTTTCTTCTTCTTTCATTGCAGGTGTGAAAATGTCATGACATGTCCCATACGACCAATTGGTTCCGGTAAGGAACATTGCCCGTACGATTGGCTTGCCGTCTATGATGGCCGCGATGAGCATTCACCACTTATTGGCAAATTTTGTGGGCTTGGCAAATTTCCATTTAGTATTATTGGTGAGTGTTTTTCTGCATTTATGTGATTTTACTGGAGAAAAAGAAGAAAAATCTATAAACATGAAAGGATTTAATCATGGTCTCTATGTACCTCTGCGACAGACGTAGTTATTTAGTGCCTAAAACATTCTTTTTACAAAGTTTATTACAATTTCTTTTAAGCTACCTACTGCCAAAAAAAGAAAAAAGATGAAGATGTTTCAGTAAATTGTAATTAGATAATTAATAATTTTCAATTCGCTTGCTCCTTAGATTCAGCACTTTCTGATGATGGCGTTTGAGGCAAAAGCAATAGCGACAGCAGCTAAAACTGATGGCTCAATAACACGAAACTCATTTATAATATGCTTTTAATAAGCGCCTAAAATAATTTCAATATTTGTTTCTCTAAAACTTATGGCTATGACAGTGCTTTAGCTATCACTCTACAGTTGTCACCACAAACCCTATTCCCATCAACTGAGTACGCGTCGTATACGCAACATTTTACATGTATTTAAGAAGACATTATTAACACAAAAAATTAATAACGAAAGAGAATTAAAAAAAGTTAAAATAAAAAACTAATAAAAAATAATGTAAAAGAACTAAAGAAAAATAAAAAAAAAATATTAAATCAAAAAATGAAATCAAATAAAATAAAAACGAAATGCAATAAAAAAATAAATGAAATTAAATGAGATTGAATAGAATAATTTCATTTGATTTTAAAAAGTTTCATAACATATAGTTAAACAAATTAAATACAATAAAACTAAATTGAATAAAAAATAAAATAAAATAACATAATAAAAAAATAAAATAATAATAAATGAAATTGAATAGAATAATTTAATTTCATTTAAAACATTAAAAAAAAATGGAATAAAATGTTATTAAATTAAATTATATAATATAAAATAAAATAAAGTAAAGTAAAATTATTCAAAATAATATAAACTAAAATAACAAAGTAAAATAAAATTAATAAAATGAAACGAAATTGAATGGAATAAAATTTGAAAAAATATAATATTAAAAAAATTATATAAACCAGAATAAAAAAATTAAAAACAAAACGGACTAAAATTGGAAAAGCAAAATAAAATAAAATAAAAAATAAAATAACGCAAAATGAAATAAAATAACATAATATAACATAATATAAAATGAAAGAAATCAAAATAAAATCAATTAAATAAAAGTAAAATTAAAAATTTTAAATTAAAATAAGACAAAATAATTTAAAATAAAATTGCATAATTAAATCAAAAAATAGTATGAAACCGGAATGAATAAAATAAAATTAAAAAGTGAGATAAAAAGGAATAAAAAAATACAATAGAATTAAATTGAAAATAAAGTATGGTAAAAAAAAAAATTAAATAAAACAACTATGAATAAAATTAATACAATAAAAAATATTAAAGAAATAAAAAAAATGAAATAAACTAAGATATTATAATATAAAATGAAATAAATTAAAATAAATAATGCAATTTAAATGGAAATGGAAATAAAATAAAATGAAATAAAATAAAACTGAGTAACATTAAATTAAATAAAAATAAATAAAGTACAGTAAAATAAATAAAAAAAAAAAAACAAAGAAAAAAAATAAAAAAAAATTAAATAAAATAAAATAAAAAAAAATTAAATAAAATAAAATAAAATAAAATAAAATAAAATAAAATAAAATAAAATAAAATAAAATAAATAAAATAAAATAAAATAAAATAAAATAAAATAAAATAAAATAAAATAAAACAATGTAAAATAAAATTAAATAAGCCTAAATGAAACACAATTAAATTAATTCAAATAAAATGAAATAATACAAAACAAATTAAAAGAAAAGAAAGGAAAATAAGAGAAGAGAAAGTAAATTAAAATAATATAAATTTAAAAAATATTGACAATAAAATAAAATTAATTAATGGTGCCCAATTGACACAGCCAAGACGAGACGCTAAAAGTTTTTCGCTCCTTAAATTGACTAATTTTGCATTTAGAGTACAATTCGAATATCGTCTATAGTGAAAAATATTCACTCGCTCATATTGCAAAACCATTTTTCAATTTTCCCACGCACACACCCAAATGAAATTGCATAAACTAGAAATTTCCATTCTACTGTATAGCACAATTGTTCCATTACGCACTAGAGCCTGGAAATATAAAGCGCAATATGTATGTATTGTAAACGCATTGTGTACTTCTGCACATGCGGATGCATACACCTGCCTCGCATTTCACACCAACACTGAAATAGGAAATCAAACTAAATTTTCGGAATATGGTAAGTGGCAATTGGCAGCTGGTAAATGGGAAAGATAGTATGTATGGGCATATTTGCAACCAAAGCAATAACAATTCACGAATAACCAAATAAGAGACGAATGGAGATGTTAATGGAAGCAAAAAGTAGGTAAAGTGCGAAACGGCAAAAGTTCAAATGTAAGAGCAAAAACAAAAGCCTGTTTAAAGTCTTTTCCACGTCGTGAGCGACTGAATGGTTCAGTGAATGGCCAATTGTGGAAGATTGAGTAGACACATGAGTGAGTGAGGTTGGCACATTTTTTTAATATTTGTTTACCCAACAATGCGCTAAATCTATAAAATTATTGGAACGAAAATATTATGAAAAATAATACTTTTTTTTTTTGATTTCTCAAAAAATATTTTTTCCTAAAATAAAAATTTTTATTTTTCAATAAAATTCTTCAACTTTAAAACAAAAACCAATTTCAAATATTGCTGAGAGATATTCACGCCATTTCAAAACTCATTTCACACATACCGAAAATTTTGATTGCATTCGTTTCAACATTGTGAAGAAGACAACTCCATGCAAAATCAGCAGTTATGCCAATTTAATTGGCCATCATATCACATTGCGTATACCATAACTGCAGCTGCAGCGCCATGCAAGCATCTGCATACATCAACCAGCAGCAGACAAGCGCAGCAAGCCTAGATCACTACACACTCACCCACCGAGGTTAACCAAGCCCATTTCCATTGCTCCACTTCGTTGTTACCATCACCAGGCTCGGCTATTGTGTGGCTAATATCATTAATATTTATAATTTCACGCGTACGCTGCATAGTGTGCCTACAAGCACGCTCTAACGGTTAACTGTGTAACAAGATTGCAAATTTCTAATTGCCAGGCTGGAAACGAACTCAGTTTGCAGTTTATCTTCATATTTATGCATTTTTTCCCTGAGCGCAACTATGCGCCTCACAATCTATATCTTTATATGCCTTTCTTACTACCTTTAGTGTCTTCTTTGGTACTTAATTAAATACTTTTTGTCTCATTTCTTTAACTCTTCGTTTCCTTTTTGCAGGCACTTCTCAGTATATGTACGTTGAGTTCGTCACTTCGCCTGCGGGTCCTCTACTCAACACTGGTTTCCATTTTAATGTCGGCAATTGGCCCGGTCATGTCGAGACGGCGGGTATTAAACACGGCATATGCGATTGGCTACTCAGTTCGGATTCGTTGAAGGATAGCAGCGCTAGTGAGGGCATCTTTCTGAGCATAGCACACTGGTATCCGCCGAATACTTCGTGTAGTTATCACATTAAAGGCAGAACGGGCGAAATAGTACGACTGTATTTTCCAAGGTGAGTTCATCAGTGGGGAAACGAGATTTTAAAGGGTATAAAAGTGAAAAAATTTACAATAAAAAATCAATTAATTAATAATTAACATGTGCTCAAGGCTAAAAACAATATTTTCATTACATATTATTAAACAATATAATAAACACAAAATCAATTGTGCAACTGAATTGAAGGCAAGCTTGCTAAAATTCAAAAAATGATTTGAAACAAATTAACAAAAAAATTTATTTAACTTAAAAAAAAATGTAACAACTAAACAAAATTTTGGTTAAAATTTATTACCAGAAAATTTTTCTTTATTTTAACTCTTTGTCAGAAATTTTTAGTTAAAAATTTAGGGTAAAAATTAAAAAACAAAATCTCATCTCAGTTGAATTCTTGTTATATTTCTTTAAATTTCTACTCTAAATTAGATTTTTCGATTTTTACTCTTTATGACTTTCATATTTCAGTCCTTCACTTTATATTAAATTTCATTTTAACACCTTCAACATTGTCAACAAAAATTTTTTTATGGCCTTTTAGTTTCTTGCCTCAAATAATAACACAACTATTTGGATATTTCTTTTTAAAGTATTGTTTATTCCACAATATTTTAAAAATGCCAAGAAAAGGCAATAGAATGAAGTCAGAAAAAAAAAAATGAATTAAAATTGCAGAAATCGCTAAGGAAACTTAAACTAAAAATTTTAACTAAATACTTTTTTGACTTTGATTAAAATGTAGGCATTTGAAAAATTATCATTTAAAAAATAATATTTTTGTGCATATTATTTTTCCTTATTCTATAATATTTTCCACCTTTTCAAAAGAAATTTAATTCCTTAGTATTATGGAATACAAGCTGAATGGAGGCACAACTTTTACATACGAAAAAATGAAATGAAAAAAAGTGAAACTGAAAGATATTTGACTTATATAACAAATAATGATTGCACTAAAATTTTGCGAGTATATAACCAAAAATATGCAAAAATAGTCATAGAATACATTTTATTGTAGGTCACCTGCACTTTAGGTTGTACACAGGGCGTATGAGTAACCTAACTTGGTATCATACAAACTTGCGTAAAATTCAAAGAAAATGAAGAGATTAAATTAAATTTAAAGAAATATACATAGAAAATTAACCTGAATAATTTGACTTAAAATTATGGCCGAAAATTTAATTTTAACTTTTTTTTCGAATAAACTGAAATTTTAATTTATTTTATTTAAAATTTATATAATTTTTTTAAACCTTTTAGTCTCTTTTTTAGTAATATAGTTTTATATCTTATTTCATATTTTTTTAAGAAACATAACTCTCTAATATTTCAAAACTATCATAGAAAAATGTATAACATATTTTAGCATAATTACTTACTTACTTACTTACTTACTTAACACATAAAAATATTAAAGTAAAACCAAAAGCAAATTATGAATAGTTTGCAAAAAATTAGAGTAATTCTGAGAGCCCTAAAATTTATCAAATATATATAAATATATAAGCATTGAGACATAGAAGTTTTCATGTCCGTGCATATACCGATAGATATGGGGCACTAGTACGTATGAGTAACTTCAAAGGCTATATCAGAGGGACCCATAAAATTCTGCGAAATTTGTTAAATTAAAATAAAAAATATTTAGCTTAAAATGTATTATTTTCGCTACATTTAAAATTTTAGTGTTATAAATATTTTTGAATCTTTAATTAATTTTGACTTCCTTCAAATTTGTCAAAAAAAAATTACTTAAGTACAATAGTTATTGCTAGCTGAACTGCATGGAAAATGAATGACGGTGCGTATAAGTAACTAAAATAAAGCAAACGTTTTTAAGAGACAATAATTAATAAAATAATATACTAAAAATGTAGTTAAAAATGGCCAACCAAGGGAAATCTTTACGGCAAAATTTATTGTTTTGCTTCTAAAACAGCTTAAAAGTGCGGCGTAAGCACGAAAATATTTTTTTAAATGCCTTTCGAACGACCAGAATCATTTTTCTCGTCAGACTTCTATTAATTTTTATTTACAAACTGTAGTACATTCTGCTCCTCCAACGATCAAGGTGCTCATCGCAATTTATTTTTGCAATCAAGAGATAACACTGAACAGTGAAGCATGACATTTCGCACTGAAGCATTTATTTGCACCAACAACTGCTTGATTGGGTTAATTTGATTAAATTCACTACACCAAAATTAGAGTTCCACATGTTACTCTTTATTGAAATGCAGTAAACTTAAGCAACTTTAAAATTGTAGATCAAAAACCACTCTTTATATAAGGAAAGTTATACTTCCTACTTTTAAGAGACTAAATTATTAATAAGCGTCAACTAAAAAATGGAATAAAGAAATCAAGTGAAATGATTCCTCTCAGGTTGCTTTTAATCATAAATGCGGCAATTTTGCACACCCAGTGAGCCAGTTGGCCATAAATTGAGTGAAGCACGCGAAACACATTCTTTACAGAACGTGTAGTTTCTTTATAAAGTCCAACGATTCGTGAACATCGCTCAGGCGTAAGTCTTTCCCGGTTAAACTACCACCAATACTGAACAAAAAAATCTATAATAGCTTGACACGATTCACGCGTGATCTGTCAAAAAAGGGAAAAAAAATACTTCTACTTTGCATATTTATTGAAAATTCAGCAACTGACCGAAAATATTTACGAGAAGAAGAAATCAAAGGTTAAAATTAGTAAAAAAATTTTCGAATTGTTTATCGTACAATATTTCCGAAGAAGTGCAGACAGCAATTCGTTGAATATAAATTTTTATTAAATTCTTACTTCCAAAATATGAATTGCATATTTGAGGACTTTTTACACAAAATTTTTTATGAATACTACTTAATCCCATTAAAGCCTTCCATCGACTTCGTTCCAATTACGGCTTTCCCGCCGTACCGAGTTTTCAAAATTTAGTTACTATTAACTAAATTATAACACAGGCCATAAGACAATATTTGGTATTTTTGAATAATTTTTGCATGATATATATTTGTTTTTTTTTTAAATAACGAAAACTTTGTTAGCTTCTCCTTTTGCCACGCCTACTCTGTCGGGAGGAAAAAATTTAGTAGCAAAATTTCGTAAGATTTTGGTGAACATTTTTCAATAACAAAACTATTTGTTTATTGGCGAATAAGTAGAAAATTTGGCCCGGATTTCAGCCGACACGGCGTATGAGTAACATATATTCCTATGGTAAGGCAGCCCATATAAATTACAAAGAAATGCAATTTCTTACAAATTTTCACACCACAACAAAAATATTTAGCAACATTAATTATGCCAACGCCTTGAGGTTTGTGTTTTTCAAAAGAGTTACAAAGTTTACATATATACATCTATAAATAAGTGTAATATATAAACTTCTGCTGAAAATACCAAACTAAACTCAGGCAAATCCACAAGGCATTTATTAAAGCAATCGAGCCAGACGACTCACTTAAGCCTCAGCAGACTTTGAGGTTGATAAGAAGGAGAGAGAGGAGAGAAGAGAAAGTAGAGAGAAATGGAGAGCAGCACGCACGTCAGTTGCTCAAAAATCTCAATAAATCTTCACTTTGTGGCAATGTGGCGACTGTTATTTATAACTTTACGCTTTTCGACAGGAATTTATTATGTAATTTCTTAATAAAGTCAAGCGAAGCAGACAATACAAGTAAAGTCAATGCAGAATGTGCCGGCAGAAAGAAATTGCACAAGTCACAATCAAAAGTATGAGTTTGAGCGCAAGAGCAATAACAAGATTATTTGTTAGCCATTTATGTTGGAGTCCACCAAAATAGCACAGATTTGTTTGTATGAGCAAACGAAAATGCCAAGTCTCAATGCCACAGCAAGCAAGCAGAAACCACAAAAAGCTTAAGTTAAGCTAAGGCAGTTTAAAGCAGTTTAAATACGCCCGGCAATCAAAGGCTGCAGAGCATTTAGAGCGTGCTGCAGCGGAGATGGTAGCAAGCGGCAGCAGTCGGACGTCAGTTGATGGCATTAAACTGGAAAGCAGATATATTACGTTGCAACAATTCCATTATTTGCTATTTCATTTCAGCAATCGGTGTAATAATGTGCATTTGTTGTTTAGTTCAGTGGCTGTTATTGCCTGCAACGTCTGTCTATTACTGCATGATTGCTGCATGTTCTTCAATGCAGACAGTCCATACAACTCTATTATGGCTCATATCTATGTATGTATGTATGCTATTCGAGTTGATTTAAATCCCGGTATTTAATGCCTCTTTCCACCCAAACTGCTCCCAATGCATGCAGCATTACTCGACTATCATCTTAAGTACTTTAATTAGAATTTAGACACAAGATTTATGTGACAGTTTCACGACACTGTCACTTTGACTAAGATATGAGTGAAAGTTGGTATATTTATAGGACGGTATTCGCTGTCAACTCTTTACAAACTCATTGCGACTGCGTCTTCTAGTTGGGCTCAAAAGGGCATCGAAAAAGAGCAAGCTTCTTCTCATCCTCTCACTATTTAAACTTTAAAAAAAGGTAATGATTTTTCCTTGTTAATATGCCCAGTCGTGTCGACTTTTTTTCCGTGCCAATAGGAGGTACAACGGAAGCCAGGTTAATCTTGAATTGATCATTCTAAGCTAGTGAAGACTCTTCACGTCCTCTTCCTTTGCCTCCACCCCACAAGAAGATACTGAATCAAAGGCCCTCATTTCGGTAAGGATATCATTCAAATGGAAAAAATGTTCTAGCGCTCTTTAATTTTGTTGAACTATATGAAAAGGCATAAAGAATCAGGTAATCTTCAAAAATAGTTTCTCTACCTAACTCTTGACGTAAAATCTACTCAACAGCAAGAAAAGTTATGAACTTGAAGTTATCTCCACGTTTCGAAAGTGTAGCTGGTGGATTATAGGATTATTGCTGAAAGAAAAGTTTTGAAATACGGCGAATCAAATGAAATGCGAAAGGAAGAGCATACAACATAAATAATTGCCTAATAAATATTTAAATATTAAGCAGAAA